CGCTACTTTATTGGAAAAGAACAATATAAGTATTGTGACGTATGAAAGTTTTACGGATAATCCACGAGTTGCTATTGAAAATCTTAAGGTAAGACGGGGTAACGCGAGTCCGCATGTTTTTGAGACTGTATATATTTTTATTACACGAAAATGAAGATGTATGCTTGTCGTTCCAGAAAAAGGACGCCAGGATAATTTTTGGATTTTTTTACCKAGCGGATCATTATAGAGTTTTCTGTGAGGTAGGTGGAATTGTTATGATCACTTTTTGATCATGGTTTGAATGGTATAGTGTATACTAGAGGCTTCATTCCGTCATTATTCCACGGTTAAATTAAATATGAATTGCTTAGCATAATCCATTTTGGAATTCAACAGCAAGAGAATCTGTTGTCAAACAAAGCAGTGATTGTTTGCTTTGTAAAATGGAGTGATAGCGAAGGTTGGGCACTAAATGACCTAACCATTATGTCTATCTTCATCGTTATGCGATAGGCACAAAAAAAAACATGAAAAGAAAGTAAAAGTGCTTTGTAATTAAACACACGTGCTTCCCTGCATCGTTATCGTCATCATTACCATCATTATGGTGTTACTACATCAGTCAAGATTTGCGGCTGAAAATCCCGTCCTTAAAGTCATGCATAAGGAGAGATCGACTGAAGTTGTTGTCGCCTTGTCCACCTTAAGAGTATTACAAGAGTATTAGAGAGCTAATGATTTTTCAACTCTTATTCCTGCTTCATTTTGATTGCCTAATTCGCGTTGTACATTAGAGTGGTTTTCATTAACCCGTGAAACACACTTTAGCGTATTTATCGCTATTACACTTTGGCTCTTTTTTTTTAGAGTGGTTTTCATAAACCCGTGAAACACACTTTAGCGTATTTATCGCTATTACACTTTGGCTCTTTTGTTTTTTATTATCTCTAAACAACTATTACGATCTATTACACTCTAATTATTACACTCTGTTTCACGGGTTTATGAAAGCCACTCTCTTAATTTCAACCATTCACTTTATTCAGACATACAAACAGGGAATGTATGGCGATAAGTACGTTTGGATCTTAATATCAGGACGAAATGACGACAACTGGTGGAAAGTACAAAGTCCATCAGTCGACTGCACGCCCAAGGAAATCCGCGAGGGTCTGGGTAACAATATAGGTACAGGAGAAATGAAGCTAAGCACTAACTCTGGGAAAACCATATCGGGAAAGGTATCTATTTAGCCATCTTTTTAAGAACGCCTGCATATATATATGTCTGTTACAGTAGAAATCAAAAAGTCGTGGCCGCCTAGAAATATTTCGGAAATGTGTACTTAAAAAGTGACTTTAGCTGACAAAAAAGAAAGCATAATGAAAAAAATAAATGAACAAACTTTGTGTTTATTCTAAACAAAGAAATTGTACTATTTGACTGTAACAAAGGACTACTTAATTATTATATAGGATTCAACTACATACATTACTAAGTATTGTATACATTTTTAATAGACTCCATTACAACTTTGGGAAAGTTACATCAACCGTGCAAAGACTTCTGGGTATCCAATCAACTCCTTCGCGCCATTTGGTTACGACGCAGCTTGGGCATGCGCGTTGACTCTCAATGTTTCCATAGGGATTCTCAAAAACAAAGGCATATCTTTAGAGGACTTTAACTATACTAATACGTATATGAAAAACGTGTTTTTTGACATACTGAAGGAGATATCTTTTTCTGGAATGACGGTGAGTTTTGTCTTAGCGGCCGTCATTTTGCATCCGTAAGTTTTGAATCTTCTGTTTATAATTTCAGGGCCGTATTCATTTTGACAAGAATTTTGACAGGATCACAAAACTAGAGATCCGACAAATACAAGGTAAAGTTTTTGGAAAACGAGAAATAATTTTTCCTGAGCCATGCATTTCTAAAACGGAATCCATTCGACATTACTGATCATTAGATGGCAATGATCTTCTTCACATACACTTCCCTCCGCCATCTTGATGGCCACCTCTAGTATACGAATAAAATCCATTGCTTATACCTCTTCAATGTAGTAAAAAATAAAAAAAAATAATAAAAGATACATTTCAAAACCCAAAAGGGTCAACAAAGGGGCGCAGAAAGAATATGCAGTTTAAGCTCTTTCGTGACAACATTTTTGTCCAAATACCACCAAAAAACTGACGTTAGAGTGCAAGTCACATAAGCATGAAACAATTCTTAACTATGTAGTGCTAAATAAGATTTAGTTATCAACTAACTAAGAATTGAGAACAATGCTACAAAGGAATTTAAATAATTGGCATTGTGTTAATGCTTTGTTGAATTCTTAGTTATAGTTGATAACTAAATCTTATTTAGCAATACATATTAAGAATTGTTTCATGCTTATGTGACGTGCACTCTATACGACCATAATCAGCCAACCGATTTAAAATCATATAGTACATGCATCATGTTCTGAAATGTTTTTTTCCGTTTATGCAGGAGATACAGAAAGGCGTGTTGGATTGTATGACATGGMAAAAGAAACATACATTGATTCTCCTAATGCAACATATTATTGGCAAGGTAGATTGTTTACAATCGCGAAAACTGTGATGGGTGCAGAGGCATGGGCATCCTTACCCAGAGACCTTGTACCCTATTGTGTGTTTTCATATTAACCATTTTGTCCAAGAGGAGGCTGTATTCCTTTATGAAGAGAACCCTGAATCTACTCCTGCAATTTTACCTTTTTTACTCTCTGTCTAAGAAAGGACTGAGGCTCTGAATTTCACGCCATTTTCCTTTTCTGAGTGCCCATCGTGCATATATATGTATATACTGCGAAAGAATTTCATCCCAATGTCATGTCATTCTAGGCAATATTTATAAAAAAGTGTTTCTCACGCATGAGCATGAGAATCGTTGAATACCTTTTGTGCTCTATAACTTAAGATAAGATTATTGTATGATATTTTAGGAGGAAGGGTACCAGTGGATGGACTGACAGAGACAACTATGGAACTGATCGTCAGCCCTTGGTTATTCTGGACGATAGCAACGTTATCGATTATTGGAATCCTAATAGCTTTRAGCTTTTTAGCGTTTAACATACGCAACAAAGAAGTCAGGTAATACTAGATACCTATTWARGGAATAATAGATCAGGCTTTTTGCAATGCATAGGAATGATGCGYCCTACATCMGGAGGGCAAAACAGTTAACTTGAGCTGCAAAGAGATCATGAACATTTCAAAGTAGAATGTGTTGTTGTGTCTCGCTTAGCAACAGCATATTAGTCAGCACGTCGGATTCCAGGCCGTGAGTTCTGAGTTCGATTCCTGGCCTGGGTGATTATAATGACTTACATAATGGGTAATTATAAGACTTGTTGGAAATTGCTTCCCTTCAAAAAGAGTAGTAATCTGGCTCCTAGTAGCTTCATACTGAATGGTTACAAGATTGTTGTGCATTGTTTCTCATCCAAGAAAGTCGATCTCCTATTCGCTTCATACTGATTACAGCAACTGGAATTAATCCTGGGCTTATTGACATTCTTGCTGAAAGATAATAAATTTTCCCTTGTTATTACATTGCACAACACTTGGAGCCATGTAGCACTGGTCTGTTTCTCTAGGATGTCGCGACCAAAGCATTGCATTGTATTTAGTTGCACTAAATCTGTCCTTTAATTATCTTCTAATGATGCAATATTTGTTTTGGAAAGATATATCAAGATGTCGTCTCCCAACCTCAACAATCTTCTCGTGATTGGCTGCATCATGGTCTACATTGGCGGAATCATTAATGGTTACCACGGAAACCACTACCATATTGTTTGCAAGGTAACTTTTTGAACTCTTSCRTCGTAATCGCAATCGTAAGAATGAATGCACATGCATTTTCGGTTTCATGCTTGATATTTCTGCACATTATCTACTACATCTTGTCTTCTYACTTTCTTCAGAGTGAAGTGTGGATTGTTACYATTGGTTTTACGCTGGCATTTGGYGCTCTTTTTAGCAAGACTTGGCGAGTTCACGTGATCTTTTTAAACTCCAATAAAACGTCAAAAAGRGTAAGAAGATGGCAACGATAATAACTACCAGTTAGAAAATAAACATTTTATTAAATCTAAGAGATTATGATGAAGATGATAATACAGTAAAACACCCAAAACTATACGTAGCGTATGTAAATGTTTCGGATAGATGACGATGTTTGTGATGTCACATAGCCGCTGTTTCCATGACAATAGTGACGGTTTTCATGATTTCTTTGATGACATACATCAATGATGAATTGAAACATTGTCACAATATTTTTGAATATTTAGAAAAAGCTGTGTGGATCTCTTAGCATTAAATTGATGAATCTTTAATCATTGAATAATTGATAGATTCAGAAAAAGGATATCATATTGTTGAAGTAATTCATTGTAAGCGGCTGAGGAACGTCCACTCGTAACCGTCTTGTCAAACGTGTTTTAAACAGGTTATTATACGTGACAGACAGCTATTTAGCATGGTGGGGATGTTTCTGCTGATTGACTTGGTAATGCTCATAACGTGGCAAGCGGTCGATCCATTGGTAGAGCGTACACAAAATATGCCCCAGGAGGTAAGGAGTTCATGCTCAAAAATGTGAAGGCCAAGACCGTCAAGGGTATTTTGAATACTCCGGCATAATTAAACACTGCTACCGCATATGGTAGTGTACTCGGGCTTCCCTTTCCATGGTGCCCTTCCGTCTTACCTTCGATGGCGAGCTCTCTCGTGCGTTAGGCATCCGGGATAAAAGGAAAAGCAATACGCCATGATTTCAAGATGCCTTGCGTATGCGAGAGATGGAACAGGGGATGGGTAGGAATGGAAGTTGTCATCATCATCATCATCATCATCATCATCATCAACATTATCATTATCATTATCATTTAAAACATGAGATTGGTTGCTTCATCAAATAATCCTCTTCGATCCTTTCAGATATCTGGAGACACAGCAATCTTACCATACATCCGATAYTGTGGCTGCAACCGATTGGAAATATGGAAAGCTATTATGTTCGTCTATAAGGGACTCTTRCTWCTTTTTGGCACATATTTGGCTTGGGAAACCCGTAAAGTGCACATTCCAGCTTTGAATGACAGCAAGTTAATTGGGATGTCTGTGTATAATGTAGTGGTACCSTGTGTTCTTATCATTCCAATCAGAACAGTACTGGAAAGCAATCGAACAGCATCATTTGCCTTGGTATCATTTTTGACAATATTTTGTACGACATTCACGCTATGCATCGTGTTTATTCCTAAGGTGGGTATCATCCATTACTGTAACAATGATACGTATTATTATAAACCGAACAAAGGTGGCTGCCTTTGCGAACGATCTATAAAGCATTTGTAAGCAGTAATGCAGCACCGATCTAAACCTGCTTTTTGATTGCTGCTCTTATCAGTACAGAAGCTCTGTTGTTAGGTTACGTTTTGTCTTATTGTTAGAAAGAATTATCTATTGTTTGTCCTTTGTCAAGCTATCATGAGACCCGTTCTTATCGGTGCTGAATGGCCCGCATTTAGCACTGAAATAACCGCTTCATAGCTCAGTCTATAGAGCACTGCACTGGCATTGCAGACGTCATGGGTCCGATTCCCTTTGAAGCCCGGACTTTTTTCGGATGATCCATTTGTTAATAATCGCTTTGATTATTATATCTTCACTGCGACGATTAACATTCTATAGAACGATTTAGCATTTCCGGCTGTGCTATGCAGATCATATTGTCTAGTGCTAGCTCAAGGCTGCAAAAATTGAAAAAGTGAAATAAAGTGGTATGGTATGCTTTGTTTCAGATTATCTTCTTGAAAAACAATGATGGCAATGATATAGCGGCATGTACTACGAACTCTGTTGGCATTAAAACTGGACATCCGGTAAGTTATAATATATCGATATCATAACTCAATAGGCATCCTCGGGAACTCAAGGCCCTAGATTCCCGAGGATGGTTTGCCTGAATCGGGCTGATTGATACATATAAGAAAGAAAGTTAGGTCAGCAATGGTGGATCACATCGATGTCAAGACAAGAATTTCGTTGATCATTCATTATTCAAATGACCTTAGTCCTTGAGGGTGATGTTAGGGGAAGAAGAAAGCTTGGACTGATCCCCGGTCATGTGCACTTCCCTGGACAATGCAAGCCTAAATTTCTTACTACAGCAATTCTTCTCTCCTCTCAAAGTTATAATAATTTCACTATTAGCTAAATATTTTCTATTATTTTAATTATTTGATTATTAATCTCAGCAGGCCGATCAGAACTCTCTTGGTGTATCGACATCTCATACTGAGCCTGGTAATGTAAAGCTCGACATCTGAATACATTAAAGAGAAGCTCGACGCAGTTCGAGTTTGTTCATTGAAGGCTTCAAGCTCAACGAGGATTAGGTGTGACTCATTATCCTCAACCGAAGCCTGCATTTCGCTCACAATACAAGCACCAACAGCCTGTGAAGCGCAGCTCTAGGGGTGGGTTGGGGTGCAAAGATATGTATAAATTGCACTGAAATTTGTTATGTTAAAGATGTTTTCAGTGAAGAATAACAAATCAGAAATAATCTGGTAAATACTGGCAACGCTCAAAAGTCGAATGATCTCAGATTGTTACAAAATGAAATCAGTATCACGAAGTCCTGAATCAAATATTCTTTGAAGTGGCAGCGCAAAGGCCGAGAATTGAAAGATTTGATAATTGTAATTTATGAATTGTAAATAAGCTATATTCCTATCAGTTTATCTGATTTTATTATTCGATTAAATAAATATGCAAATATTCAGTCCTGTTCAATTTTGATAATTTCATTTTATTTTAGGGGTTTACTACATCAAAAACCAAGTTGTTTTTCATAGGTTGTCGGATAGGTTCATAAACACTCGCCG